ATATATATATATATATATATATATATATATATATATATATTTGTGGTGTATTATTAATCTTGTTTTCCTTATTTTGTTGTTGATTTTTAACTTTTACTGTTCACTTCCTTGTTCTTAATGATATTTGCCTTTGGAAAACCACTTTGTCATCTCGTACTGTTTGAATATGATGTACTATTATTACCATTAATGTATTACAGTAAAGCTACAGGACAGGTCATAGTAGTGTTTTTTGTTCACCGAGTGGACTCACAGGATATAACGTCACAGAGAACAACACCAGTCCTGACGTTTGTTTTACGTCACAAAATGACAATTTTAAAAGTTTTAACTCAAGCCCGGATAACGCATCAACAACAACAATGTTAAATCAAATTATATTAACGTTAACATTCAATTACAGTCAACAGTGAGACCTTTGGGTTACTCCATAGACTCTCTTTAGCTCGCTAACTTAAACTTCATTCCACACAGGTGAGAACATTTACGACGTTAAAACTTACCGCTGCCCGTTCACGTCCAAGAAGCGACAAGGCGCGTCTTCTGTACTTCAGTCAAAAATGTACTTTATGGCAGCGAAACATTCACAAATAAAGTATTGGTAGTAACACTAACAGTTATTTTATCGTGTTGTTCTGCCCTTTGCTGGTTTCACTTTAAGAGAAACACGGCGCCACCTTTTATTATATAATGGTCGCTTCCGCTTACAACCTTCAAAAGAAAAGCTATGTTTATGGTCAATAAAGATGAAAAAGGTTGTTTCTTTCAACTTCAGATGAGCCTCCGTGAAGGGTTTCATTGCCAGTCTACAAAACTGACCTACAGGTCTAGTTTAATCTATTTGGCGAAGGCTGTAACACCATTTTCATTTTGTAACTATTTTCTTTCTTTTGAATGTTACACTTTTATTTTGAAGACGGACAGCTATTTCCTGATTTGACGCGTCTCAAACCCTTGCCCAGACATGCCTTGACTTACTACTTTAACCAGACAAGATTGACAGGGTACCAAAACTGAAACTACAAACACTTTTGAAACAAACAACTTTATTCAGATCACAAAAGTTATTTTTAGCAAGATCATAGAGCTCAGGTGAACTATCTGGGTTTAAAGTTATTGCTCCTCCCCACCACATTTCCTTGTATAGGCTACTACCAGTCATGGTTTACTCAGGAAAAAGAGACAAGATATAACTTAACCAAATGATAAATGAAGCTATAAAAGGCTATTTTCAGCACGTGAACTCTGGGGTGTGCTTTCAGGGTGAGGGGGCTTTCAGGCTTGGTTCTGGAGGACGGCGGGACTCAAAAGGGAGGAAGTACTCTCTGGCAAACTGGAAGACGTCATTTGGTTTTCTCAACAGCAAAAACTGCAGGAAGTCAGATATGAGGGCACGGATCTCTGGATGATGTCTCAGGTACGAGGCATGGTCCGCCTTCAGCTCCTCCTGCCCCCAACGAAACATAAACACACATTCACATTCTGTTCTGTTGGAAGGATTTATGGGGTGAGATGATGATGGGATACATTGGATAAGGAGGCAACATATTCTTCAGACGGTCTGAATAAATCTCTTTATAATATGAGAACATTATTGGTTACCTTTCTGTCCAAAAACTTGGAGCGCATCTGCATGTCTTCTTCCCAAACCAGAGGGATCTTCTCAAAACCTAACACACAGACAATATGATTGACTACGTTTCATTAAAACGTGTGTGTGTGTGTGTGTGTGTGTGTGTGTGTGTGTGTGTGTGTGTGTTTGTGACAGTGGTTACCTTTTTCTGGCTGTGATTGCAGCTGCAGAAGCCTCATAGTGACCGGTGATCCCACTTGCACCCTGCTGGCCATGTGCCTGATCAGAGAACATTAACTGCTCAAAAAATATATATTTTTTGTTGAAAAACAAACAAACAAGACAAACACAGAAATGAAATGAAACAGGTATGGTCTCTAAATGAGCTGCACACACAGTGATCCACATTGTTGGGCAGGGAGACCTTCCAACAAGTTTAGGAACCTGAGGATGTCTAGTCATTGAGTTTACCCATCAGCCAGGAAGTAGCACTGCCAGGTAGTGGGGCTGTCCTCCACGGAGTGAACGATCCTCTCCACCCCAAAAACCTCCACAGTCTCATCCCCCACCTGCAGCTGCTTCAGACCCAGCTCACTCTGGCCACAGAGAAACAGATGATCAGAGTTCACCATTCAAACAAGACACAGAATGACCAAGAGGTCTGTCTCGTTGACATGATTACTTACAAAAGTGGTATGGATGATGTGTAATCCCTGGTCAAAGGAGATAAAGGTCATGTGTTCGGGCACCTTCTTCCTGAGAGCGAGCAGGCGCATAAGCAGCAAGTTGGACGCCTCGGTAACGAGGCCGTTTAGGGCGGACATGGGGTAAGAAACGCTCTCCATTGTCGTCTCCTGTATACACACACAAACAAAAGAATTAGCACTTACAGTAATTTCACAACAGCAAGTTTTGTCGACATCTCCAATGGTAAATGTTTGTATAAAAAAAGACATTTGAATCCAGATTTCACAAAACGGTATAGGTACTTTGCTTGCTCAGCAAGATGTCAGGTTTTTAACCACGTCATCATATTAGCATCTATGTCACATCAACATGTGTAGAGGGCCTGGGGCTGATAGATGCTGTTTTTACAGTTGATGCCCAGCCCACTCTACAGTTCCTTCTCTCACCTCTCCCACAGTGGTGACTTTATCGATCAGCATCTGCCCGTCATGCTGCACCATGTGACACCTCCTGTCCAAACTGTGACCCTCAAGCTGAAAAGGGGATTCAATGTGTTCAAAGGAAAACCAAACAAAATCAGACAGTGGCATAAGAACGAAAGGCAGTCAAGTGCCCCCGGTTCAACGTTTTAACTTCCCTGCGTGTTAAAATGAGACAGTGTGGGAAGTTTGTGACGACTCACCTTGACATACTCGTGGTAATCTTCCTCCAGCACCTCCAGCTCCGTGGTTAGGTAGGCTTTAATGGACAAGGATGAAGGACACGAAGAAAAGGGCGTAAGGTGACACATCTGTAAATAGACAACCTGCCTTTGCAGCCCCTTTCCTCCCCATTCCTCCCCTCACCTGTCACTGTGGTTCCACAGGGGGAGTCATCGATGGCTCCCTGGCTCTGAGCATGCAGGAGCAAACAGGGCTGCTGGACTCTACGGGCAAACTCCACCGTCACACTGAACTTCCCCAGGTCTCGGCCACCCTCTGACACAGTCACCAGAGAGTCTGGAAACACACACTTCAGCAGCTCTGCAGGCTCTGAGAGAGAGGTTGAGGGGGGGCATTGATTTAAGTTTGAGCCAAAACGGACAGGTTCAAATTTTCTCAAGAAGCTTTTTTTCTATTGTATTTTTCTGCACACTGCTCCAATGAAATGGCCTAATTGTCAATATACTGTGTGAGGCAACTCGAGATGTGCCAAAACCAGGTGGTGCTAACACTCAGGCGAAGCCTTTACTAGTTTCTGTCTCCTACCGACGCTCCACGCCTGCAGAGTTAACGTTATACTGGCAACTCACCAACACTGGACATCAACGTGAGCGCTTCGTCGGACGCTTTCAACTCCACTCCGAGGTCGAGTCCCTCGATCCCGGCCAAGGCTCCGGCAGGTGTCTCATCTTCCAGCGGGGCTTCCATCGTTACCGCTGCCTTTGTTTAATTGCAGATACTTCCGGTAATAACAGCTTCACTACTGTTTTTATTTTTGTTGCGACAGGTTGTTAACGGATTGTTTTGGAGTTTTTATGGCACGCAGCTTTTCGATGTTGCATCTATCTGCAGCCTTCTTTCCAATACGGAAGTGAGGACGAACAAATGTGAGTTGTCGTGGCAACGACGCTGTAGTACCGTACAGACGGATGTATGTGCGCAACTGAACTTGCACCAAAAGCAAGTGCACTCAGAGAAATCCTATACATTGGTCATGTTAGTTGAATCCGCTTTAAACTACTCCATGTGTTTTAGCTATTGTTAAGATTAATAAAAGAAAACTTCAAAATAATGGCAGTAAACAGCTTTTTACATTATCATATAGATACTAATGCTGTTCTGGTTTGACACTTTCAGATACTGTGCTTAATGTGCATAGATAAGTCTAGGAGTCAGTAAAAATGCTTTTCTACATTAGCTTTTGATGTCTTAGATATGCACATGTCACCCAGTACTCTGCATTCAGGGTTTGTTTGTAAAACATTCTGGTGAAACTCCATGAAGCTTATGTTAACCCAACCTCATTAAAACATGGACCCACCATATTGATTATCATACTTTGAGCAAAAAAAACCAAACCCAACACAAATCTGTGAAAATATAAAAGTAAATGGTTTAATGTGATAAAAATACAAGATTTTGAATGATACAATGAGTACATTTTAAGAAAGCCCTCCCCCAGAGTAAATTATAGGTCCATAATTAAGACATCGAGCATAGTGAGTTTGCATGAATGTTGGCGATGAAGCTTCAGTTGCGATGTGGAGACAACACGAGTCTCTTTGTCAGGGTGTACGTAACTTCAGGCATCTGCTTTACCAACTTATATTTCACGTCACCCTCTGACTCATCTTCCACGTAACCCTCTTTCTGGGCCACTTCATAGTTCACGTCGACGAGGATGTTGAGAATGTGTTCACTCCTAAAACAATATACAAACATATTATTATCCTATCAGGGCACATCATCATTAAGTCAAGTGTACAGTATACACTTGACTTAATTGATTACATCATCAGATCTACAACATATTGTGGATACTTCACTAAATATTTATTCATTTTTAAGTTTCACATTTACCTCTTACAGCCCTCCTTTAGCTGCTGACACAAAGATTGGACGAACCAGCTCCCATTTATGCTGTGTCTGTATGATTGAAAATCTCCAACAGAGGCAATGGCAACCAGAAAATCAGCATCCTCAGGGGTGGATGGCGAGGGAGAATCATCAGCTTCTAATGACACTCTACGCTGTGTCTGCCCTCCCTGACAGGCCTGGATCAGGAACACTTTGGGCTTGCCGGTGAGGGTCGACTGAGCGGTCTTGAATGTTCCAGTTATTGTTTTGATGGAAAGGGGCTGATCGTCAACACCGAAGACTACACCCTTCCCTCCGTGACTGAGAATACAGCAGACGAAGGCATCGCCATGTCGAGGAGCCTCTTGAAGAGGAGTGAATCCGCTGCCAGACCACTCCTCAACATTGAACTCCCGCAGCTGAGCGAGGTCGCTCTGAGAAGCAAAGCATTTCAGCGCTCGCTCCATCTGGTCCTTGGTTTGGTCTTTACACATCAGTGCTCTGAAGCCCAGCCGGCTGAACACCTCTGCCAAATCTTCTGCAGGAAAATTTCATAAAAAAGAAAAAAACTGTGAAGCTTCAACCACCAACAAACAGGACAATTGTGTAAATCTGTTCACTCTGTAATTAAATTAAATAAAATTTATTTTGTATCGCCCAAAATCACAAATCACAAATTTGCCTCAGAGGGCTTTAATCTGTACACATGCGACACATTTTGTGTACATTTTGTAAAAAGAAAATAAGTTTAATGTAATCTTAAGTAAAGATTAAACATTTTGTACTACCTTTTCATTTACAGGTGCCTTCATCATTTCAAGTGTTTATTGCAAAAATAAATGTTATTTGTAGTAGAAATGTAACATACCAGCATCTTTGTTGGTTCCACTTCTCTTTTTCTTCTCCTTTCTATAGTTGAAATTCTCATTGTTTATGATCACACAGAGGCCGGTGGGCTTACTGTTCAACTCATACAGCTTCTCCTGAAAACAGTGGAACCAGACACACAAACACAGGATGAACAAACTAACTGGGGTGGATCATGTTTTCCATTTCAATATTATATAATCGAAGACTTTTACTAAAGAGGTACCTTTGCTTTTCTATACTTGTTTTAAATTTATTACGGAGCTAATATTCTATATGTTAAAACAGGATCATAAGCATGTCATGTGTCTCTCTAACAAAGAAGAACTAAAAACACTGACCCAAGCACAGCGTGCTATTTCAATGTTAATACCTCACCTCCTTTGGCCTCTTGCTCTCTGGAGGCGGACCATGTGAGGAAATCAGAGGGGAACAGAATTACACCTCCAAACTTAACATCCTTAAGATGTCCACTTCGTGAACGTGAAACACACATTAGGCTGAATAGGAGTCATTTGAATACCAGAACTATTATACCATTATAAATCATACGTACCACTGACATCACCTGAACAAGCTTGGACAGGCTTGGTTAAAATGCTGGTGTCCTTCAACTGCATGCTCTTCAGTTTAGGGTAAGTAGCTACAATTTCCGCATCAGTTTGCAGGAGGTTCAGGAAGGCTTTGCAGCTGTCCTCACCTTTGTTCATGAGCTTGTCCACGAGCCTAACGACGTGGCCCTCTACATCTTCCTTGTCGATGCTTTTAAGGTTCCTGTACTCACGCTGAGTTATCAGCTCATTCTGATGAACTTTGTTGAGGATTAGCATGTAGTCTCCACACAAATTCTGCACAATGGCTGTCTTATTACGTCTCACCGTGTCTTCGGCTGACATGTTGAATCTGACAGAGACAAAAAGAAGAAACGGTAAAGTACACCAGGAAATACTGGGTTTTGGTTCATAGTCAATCTGTGACAGCTGAGATGTTTTTGTAACATATACGGCACATATACATTACAATTAATCATTGTGTACTTCACTCATGAGTGAGATTCATTTCTGAAAACTTACTAAACGCAGCAGCAAGCGTTACTCTGTAATAAGTGAGTTTAATGAGTTGGCTTTATAATGTAGCCAAGTAGCTTGGAATTAACGATATATTTTGAAATCATGTAAGATTTGAACCTTACAAGTTGACTGCTGTACTCCGAAACTACAGCACAGCTCCAACAATACAGAGGTCATTACTTTAAGATTTGGTCACTTACAGTCAGGAAGTTGTTTCCTCCACTTTCGGTCTTACCCGGGGAATTCCGTGTCCTCGTGCCCGAAATAACTGTGGCAAGCTGCTTTCGTTATCAAAACTCGGTAGTTATATATCCGTACAAAGCTTGTATCTGAATTTAAAACACGCTACTCAATTATGCGTTTCAAACGCTCGGGTTTTATGCACCATGTGCAAGCAATTCACCGAGGATGTAGATTAGAATACGATGTAGCTACAGACAACGGAGGGTGGTAACTGTGGAGCTTGCTTACCGCTTCGTGGAAAAGGAGCACTTGAGCTCTCGTGACGTAACGACTCGCAGAAAGTTCTTGATTGGGGCTCATCTCTGCCCTTGTGGCTGATGAGGGAACACAGTTCCGCTAGTGGTGTTTGTCTACCATTGGCCAAAGGGTGCAACAACGAGACTTCCTTAGACCATAAATTAGCATACTGAAAAGCTTGTCTATATATCTGAAAGTTTACTTCCCGAACAACAACTGTCCCTGGTGGTCTAGTGGTTAGGATTCGGCGCTCTCACCGCCGCGGCCCGGGTTCGATTCCCGGTCAGGGAACAGCGTTTTGTCTAGTTGTGCTAGCCAAAAGGCTAAACAAGAACTTAATTGATATTGATAATTATGCTAAAAATAATGGTTGGTCACCTTTTATGGAAAGCATCACAAAAAAGTTACTGATTTGGTAATGTTTTAAAAAGTATCCAATTTTAGTAGCGAAAGTAATAAATAGTTTTAAAAACTTCTAAACTTTACTCAAAAAGTCAATGATTCTTCAGCTTTAAAAAAAGTTACTAGTTTTATTGAAAAACAGACTGATTTGGTTACTTTTTTTTTCATGTTACCAATTTTATTAAAAAAGTTATTGACTGAGTCTTTGTATTTCGTTTTTGGTGTATATTTACCATCAAGACATGTAACCATAAGTATGTGGTGTTTGAAATCTTTTGCGGTGTATGAATGAGACAATATAACAAAGAAACAGGAAGAAACCCATCGTTTCCTGAAGTGCTGTACATTATGTGACGTCATGCTTCATCTTTCCCCAGAAATGCGTTATTGTCTTGAGTCACTGAGAGCACTGACAGGCAGCGACAGAGTGGAAGAACAGTAGCAGGTAACAGCTTCTTAGTAATGCTTTTCACAATAATGGTTCTGTAATTTATACTGTAAGAGGATTTTGTGTTAGATTGTATTCAAAAGAAAGCCGATACCTAATCATGGGTTTGACCATTCCTCATTTCTGAGAGTAGTATAGCTGAGCGTATAAACAAAACAAAGCACAGATGCACTTTTTTTTCTTCTCTTTTTTTCCTGTTGAAAATGTAGAAGTTTGCTTAGGCAGTGGAAATGTGTATGTTGTTAAAACCCACAATTGAAATGAACCACGAGGAGAATCAAGATTCATATGCAGAAAGCTATTTGTATTTGATTATTTCCCATTGAGATGTCCTACGAGATGTCGGTCACTAAATTTAAGCATTTAAAAAAGGGGAAGTGTGAACTGCCAGGAAATTACTTGGTTAGAACAGCTTCTCTCTGCTCAGTGGTACGGGTTTATGTCAGTTTATCTGTCTTTGTGTGTGTGTGTGTGTAAAACCCCTTAGGTTGGCTATGAAGCTGCTTCCTGTCCATCCAATATTTTGGTCCTGTTTGCTGATTTTGTGGGCATCAGAAAGTGGTGGGTACCCCATGGATATTTAAGTAAAAACATGTCCTAAAGATCTTCTTTAGCACACCATGTTTGATTCAACAAACATTTTTGGCTATCTTGCCTTTATCAGGGTGGTGTTGCAATTTCCGCTTTCCTTGTACTCAGTCTTCAATGAAATCCTCCACCACCCCGATTAAGAGAAAAACACCCCAAAATGTTGATGAATCAAGCAAAGTGTACGGCAGGTGTACATGTTTTGAATTTGAAGGCTTTTAATCAAGTTTTCCCTCGTGCTTTAGCTCTAGATAATATACGTCCTCTTTTAACAGAGTCGGAGTCCAACACTCTAGATGTCTGTCAGAATGAAAGGGATCCGGGCAACGTGAGAATCAAAATGTTCTTTTAATAACTTCCACACAGGCACAATAAAAGCGTGCCGCATGCAAATACAGATGCATGTGTGTTTAATTTCTATATTCTGTTCTTTATGCCTGTGAAACTGTTTCAGATCCATCTACATAGTCCTTTGGGGCAGGAACATTGTTTCAAGGAGGCTAAGGTGGACGACAACTTTTGCTGCCTCTATTACCCAACAGATGTGCTCAACTGCTTGTGGTCATTCCACTCTTTAGAGAAGGATGCTCAGCTCTTTATCCAGATCAGGTGTTCACTATTTTCTTAAGTTAAACATCACCCATATGGCATATAGCTTTGATGAGCATGTTTGAATGTTAACGTATATTTACAAAACAGGCATGTTAAAAATGTATAAATTGTTCTGACTGTGTATCTCTTTCTCTGTCTATTCACCCAGTATCTGTGATGAGGATACAACGGTTCACTACCTTTCGTCTGAGGAGAGAGTAGGATCAACGTCTTTGACTCTGCACGAGCATGAGTGGTCGTACGTAATCCTCCTCTTCAACATAACCCTGCACGGCAATTGGACAGTCTACACCTCGGGATACGAGACAGACATGCTCGGTAATGCTCCGAGACAAACACCACCATTGAGTTGTTGAGTATCTGCAAATTATCCCACTACAGATGGTATTCAATGGCATCCACTCTTTGAGTAATGCATAGGTAGCTATTTATTTAGAGAAACATTAGAAACACCCCCTCCCTTTGAGACGAATATGCAACCACAGCTACCAAGTACCACCCCAATACCCAAAACAATCAATGCCACTAAGGATCGCAATGAAATACACACTGGTATATTCATGTGAATCTGTGCATGTCTATACAACCTGCATGCAGTCTCATGTATTGACCCTCGAGGACACGAGGGCAAGAATTTAAGAGAGAAAGAAGCCATCTGTGGCCACGCACGCTGGATAAACCTTTGACTGGGTCTGCTTCCCGTCGCAGACATCAACAGTAGAAGGCATTGAGCGTCTTAAAGGCTGGCATCTGGTCTATTCCAACCCAACCCCAAGTCCAGTCAGAACAGGAGCTATCTTAGACACTTACCCACTCACCCCGAGGGAAGCTACAGCAGAACCACTTGGCCTTTAATGTGGCCAACATTTCATCTTTATTCAACTTCTGTGGAAGCTCGACACTGTAATGCTCAGCCACTTTCAATAGCTGATCCTTGTTGTACGTTTCTAGCAAAATTGGCAAAGCAAAGTCTTCAATTGAAGCCGTTTCACCACCTAGGGGCACGCCACAGATACCAATACCGCAATCTAAGACAATGTTTTTACACCTCTACCCGACAATGTGCCAGGTTGCTTTAGATGTGGAGCCCCATACCCCTGGCTAACCGCCTACCCAATAATACCAGACTGTCTCTTAACACACTGAAAATCACCTAGGCAATCATGGAAGTGCCCCCGAGCCCGGGCTCTAACCATTAAACCATTATTAAAAAATATAACTAACACAATAAAAGATAAATGGCTACAAATCCTTGATATAGTGATATAGCGTTTAAAATCAGGAATAAGGGTTCCAAATGACGTACCAGCCCTCAGCTCTTACTGGCAGTTCAAGAAAACATAAGTAAACACTACAAGGCCAAAATCGATGAAGCAACACACTTACTGGAATAGCTTAGTAACATAAATACGAACTCATTAACATACCAAAGCAAGCAAAAAACTGTGTGAAAACCTCCCTTGAAGGGCGAGCCTCCATTTGTTTTTGGTTTGGCAACAAAAAGGGAGTCCACACACACAGATGTATCCATCAAAAAGTTATGTACAGTATTTAACTCAAATTAACAAAAATATCAACTAACTGGTGGTGTGCGTAAGTGAGAGAGACATCAGTCAAGTTAGAGGTGTGTGGATGAGTGAAAACAAGGTTTAGCAAACCAAACAGAGGAAGAACGCTGACTGAGAGAGATTGAGACTCCCATGGAGGACAGTCCTTTATTTCTTTTTAAGAAGCCCAGCCCAGACGTGGAGGTACAAGCAGACGGCCCTCTCATCTCCACCTATCAGGTACTCCCTGTATCTGCAGAACAAGCAGCAGAGCAGACAAACAGGCAGGCAGAGAGGGGGGTGTCAGCACAGTGCATGCATGAATTTGGTGAGCTGAATGTTCAGGTTTTAGACTGTAGGTTGTGGAGACTCCACAACAGACCCTCCGGCTGAATTCTTATTACTTATTTTGACTAATTCTTTTTGGTCGTGTGTGCCACAGAGGTCCAGTCTCCACCCCAAAATATCTCTGCATCAGTCAGAGATGGAGGCCTGTTGGTGACATGGGGTCTGCCCAAAAGTCGAGGAAAATCTAGGCCAGACTGCTTTGAATACCAGCTGGACATGGATGACCAGGTATGCCTGTGTGTATGGATATGGATGTTGATTATTCCATAAACAACACATGCAGTGCCCTTTAGTGCACTGTCTTCTGGTGCACATAAACAAGAACGATCTAAATGAGGTGAACATACTGAGTGTTTCTGGCGAAACTTTATCTTTCAAAAACAGGAAAGACCCAAAAACTTGACCGCTGAGCTGTCTTACAAAGAGCCCAATGCAGACCCCACCAGCACCTACAGAGTGAGGATGAGGATGAGGAAGACGCACGCATGCCAAGTGGTTTCCCATTGGAGCGACTGGAGCCACACCGTCAGTGAGTGCTGTTTCTTTAAGTCAAGTCGATTAGTCATTTTCACCAAAGGCTGGGGACTTTTTGACCATCTCCATCCATCAGTTGATTATCAGTCTGAATCCACGATCTTATATTTCTCTGTGTGTCGGTCCGTTTTCAGCGGTTGAACCGTCAGTTTACACACTCAGCACTGTGGTGATCGTCTCGATCTCACTTGGGATACCCATGATCCTCCTGGCTGTGCTGCTGCTGCTGCGCCATCAGAGGTACAGGTGTCTGTCTCTACATGAACGACGAAGCTGTTGACTGATGTGTCTCACGCGCATAGATTTATACATGCAACACAGCTCCTCACAGATTTCTCTTCACACCCGCTTGATTTGCTGAGCTGTTTCTGATGCCACGGACTCCGTAAGACGAAAGACAAAAGTGACCCAGATGTCAACAGAATGGGTGAAGTTATGTGAGAATAGACAGAAAGGAGAAGTAAGAGGGGTGGGGGGGTAGAGTCTTTTTTGTCTGAAAAGTCAATGCAAAACATCCACCCTAGACTTCCTTAAGGTTTAGAGAGAAACACCCCCGCACTACTTTAAAACAGACAAACAGGGGAAAAACACGAGATGAAAGAAAAAGCAAAAGACAATAAAGGAAGGATGTGCTTCATTTTTTTCCTTTCTGTGGCGGTTTCACTTTATTTGCTCAAGTATTTGTTTTAAAACAAAATAAATATTATTTTAACCATCGCAAATGGCTGCGGAATGAGTTTGAAATATTTGTACTCATTTTGTGTGTGTTTTTCAGGGTGTCTAAGGTTCTGTTTCCCCCGATTCCTCGCCCACCACCAAAGTACAAAGGTTTCCTGGAAAAAAGTGACACATTCAATGTAAGTACACAGCCATACTGTACACACCCGCTGACACCTCACACTTCAGCACCACAAACACACGTGTCGACAAATGGTGCCAACATTTTGGTTTTTGTGTTGTGTTGTGTTGCCTCCAGCTCTTCCACTCTGCTCCGCTAGCTGAGCCTGTGGAGGAGATCACAAAGGTGGAGGATATGGAGCAAAAGCCTGAAAAGATGTTATAAAAGCAATGTGGGAAGGACACATTCAAACGTTAGAAAAAGAAGGAGCATCTCACTGCCATGCGCCACCAGGCCAGTCCATTTAGCAATAAGTATTAGTGTTTATAAGTATTCTTGCTCTGCGTCGTCCTTGTGTTGTGGATTTTTTTGTTTTGTTATTAATTTAAAAAAGGGGAACATGTCCAGTGACAAGTTTTGAAGAATGACATTAGTTTTGCCTGAACTTGCTGGTTAGCTGGTTTTGAAACTGTCAAAAAAGAGGATTGAGATCCCAGGAAAGCTGCCTTAAATGAAGGAATACAGTTCGATATGAAAGTAGGATAAAGGGACACAAAGCATATAATAAGTAATCATTTTAAAGCAAGTATGTATAACATAAGAATAATGAAGTGATTTAACAAATGTAAACTGATAATAATAATGTATGTATAACTAAGTAAGAAGTGAAGTCTGTGTATGGGTGGAAAGAGCTGATGTAATCAGGGTGGGGACCTTAAAGGATGAGATCATAACAGATGTTGGGGTGATGTCACACCAGACTCAGGTCCCACTAACGCTTTCCCTGGCACTATATAAACTCTGGTCCTGCAGTCTGGGGTTGTCAGGTCGTACCGTCTTTCACCCGCTTCAACCCCGTTGCATCTTCGGCTTCGAGCGCCTGCCTCCGGTGTCCGTCGGTCCGGGAATCCCCCGTACCCTCCTTTGTGTTTATGGACTACTCACCGCCGCTCTGCCCTCTGTTGTGTTAACGGACTACTCTCGCCGTCAAGCTGCCAGCTCTCCGGTGTCGAGCCACGGGACATCACGCCATCAAGCTACCAGCCCTCCGGTGTCGAGCCACGGGACTCACACCGTCGATCTGCCTACTCTCTGGTGTCGGACCACGGGATCCACACCTTCCTGTCATCTTAATTCAGGCTAAATAAAACCTTTTTATACCAACTTCTGTCTCCTGTGGTCTTGCTATTGGGTCCTCACCGTGAACTCCCGTGACACCTAGCCGTTAAAACCTAACCTGGCAATTTACCAAGAGCCCAGATCCAAAAGAGGAAAGCTGCCATAACTGACGCGACTAGGTAGAAGCGCCCGGCCAGGGTGGCCCCTCGGCCGAGTGCACGTTACCAGTGGAAGCAGGGTAGACGTCAGGAGTAACGGTAGTTAGCAGAAGCCAGGCGAGTTTCCTCGACACAACACCAGCTCGACAATCTTTTAATAGAGAGCTGAGTCAGTAGGTAGCCCCGTATCGGGCCAGAGAACCCCCGGATCTAACAAAACGTAGATCTACAGTGCTTCTATAAATGTGTATACCTTTTGGGGTGTGAAATAAAGTTGAGTGATATACTGAAATATCAAATGCTCATTTAAAGTGAATTATTTTAGTCAATCTTTATTTATACACGGTGGTCCAATGAGAGCCTTTCACTCTCTTTATGGGAGCCGACACAGGACAATAATGGCAAAAAGGAAAAACATTTAGACAAACATGTAACAATTTCACAAATGCAAAAGCGTGAAGATAACATTGTTACATGTTTTTTTTAGAAAAGAGTATCAAACAAAATGTGAACACAACAATATTGAAGTTAACCCATTAAAGTTTGACATTTTGGGAAGAACACATATTCGCTTTTTGGAGGACCGTCAGATAAGAGGATTGATACCACTCTCATATCTGTTCAAGCTAAAGTATCGAGGCGGTCGGCTTAGCTTAGCTCTCTCCTTAGTACATGGGCGCAGAGATCACCTCGTCAGTTCAGAGAATGAATGATTGGGCCTAACAAACTGAGCCTGGTTCATAAAGCCAACCCTGAGCTAATCAGAGCAAATCAAGTCTGGTTTCAGAGCTGACTTTCAAACACACACGGGAGATGTCAAGCACAGATCACATCAATTCACAACGTAGTGGATTGACATGCTAAAACAAAGCTGACATGATTGTGGCAGCAGATACAGAAAATAAAACATGGGGGCAAAAATTAACAGAAATACTGTCGCTGTCAAAGCAAAAGGGAACTTTTGACAGCAGCAGGCAGCTCAGACTGACTCAGCTTGTTGCAGCTCTCTGACAATAACCACATCATTGTAGGCTCAAGTCAAATGGTACTTCCTATAAGGCCACAGACAGGCTTCAAAGTTGTTTATTAGTTTCATTGGCATAGTATGTTGACTGGATTACTTTGCAGATACTTACGACTTAAAATATGCAAGTTCAGATTCAAGTTTGCAATGAAGTGTGTGTCAAAATGTGATAAATGTGACACATACAACAAAGTACTTTATATTCACAGTGCGCAGCGTTTAAGAGGAACTGACAGGGAGGAACTTTGAGGAAACACTGTGTTTCAGTCTGGTAGATTGACTGTAACACTGGTAAAGCAGGGAAACTTAGGTTGGATATCGCAGATGACTGAGAAGAACCTTGCATTGCAGCAATGAATGAATGAATTAAGCCGCATGATAAGATGCCCACCATAAACTTTATGCCCTGCCTGTCCTGCATCGCTACATTTCCTGTATGGTTCTGGTTCCTCTGTTCTGTATACAGCGGCTTTGGATAAGATAAGATAAAATATGTGTCGACAAACCGCACAGTTCAAATAGATCACTGAACTCAAGTATGACTTCCACAAACAGATAAATAAACAGAAGAAAACATGGTGACACATGACCACGACTATGTCAAAATATCTTTCTTATGACAAGAAACTTCACAATACCACAGCATCAGATTGTGTTTTTTATACAAAAACTATGTTCCCAGACTCATTAGGAAACAACTATTTTTTAATGACTTTCAAGTACTCTTGAGTACTTGTTGAAATGCATACTAGAAATGTACACGGTTTGCATACACTACAGTGGACTTTTTTTTTACTGATAAGAGACACAAAATAAATACATTTGAGAAGATATGACGGACAGCGAACAGACCCTTGCTGTTCCACAAAATGCTGCTTTCTGCCATTTTGTTAGTCCACCTGATCAATGGGGTCGGTCTGCCAGGCTGAAGACATGACCTCAATAGACCGAGCTGCTGCTGATTCACATTTCCATGTAGAGACACTCTGTGAAGGACACCATTGAGGATGTGTTAGTGTTGAACAAGACCGACTGAAAAGGAACTCTTTGATGCACCACAAATAGAAAAAACACACACTGAAGTCACAGTATCTCTGCGTCTTTGTGCCTGGTTTGCATGGACCAGATTTGGATGTAGTGTAACAAGTCTGCGTGCCATACCTCGTCCAAAGCTGCTGTATTGTAGCTGTGTTTTGTCCAGCGGTTCCGTGAGGGGAGCTACACCGTCATCAGAGGCTGCACCCCTTCTGTAATTCTCTATCAGTGTTTCCAGAGTCCCAAAACTCTGCGGTCGGACTCCTGGGTCCTGCTGATTACACACAAACCATGACAAACAGCCTTGTGTGTGTGTGTGTGTGTGTTTGGGTGTGTGTGTGTGTGAGTGAGGACATGTGCGATGTTCACCCACCTGAAGACACCAGCCGTTTGTGGAGTGTGAAAGCCTGTAGGTGTGCACAAACGGCGCTTTCCTGCAAAACACGACGGAGTAAAGTCTGAAAGAGCACAAGTGCACTCTGCAATGTGATGGTTAAATGTAATGTTGAAATGTGAAAGAGGTCGTGAATCGGGGGCAGAGGATGACTGATTTCACTTTTGTGTTCGACACACTGGAGTGAAGTTACATTATATAATCATTTGGAACTTCTGGACAATTTCCAATCTTTATGTTTTTCAGAAGCTATTTCTTCAGATTATCTTTAAAAATTATGAATATGGATTAGTTATGTAAATATGTTTCAAAGTCTTAATTTAATATGTGTATTGTCCAAGGTATACACACAGTATACATTGATGGAATGTAACTAAGTACATTTTCTCAGTATTTCCATTTGACTCTATTTTACACTTCTGCACCTCTACATTTCAGAGGTAAATATTACACTATTCACTTCATTTATCTGACAGCTACAGCAATGGTTACTTTTCACATAAAACACATGATCATTTATAAAATATGCCTTGTTATAAATTAAATTAACATTCAGATGCTGCATGAATTAGGAATATAATACACATATTAATAGTGCTGAAACTTTAAACAGACCAATTTTGCATGAGGAGTACTTTTGGTACTGTAAATACATTTAGCTGCACATTTTTTTTTTGCAGGACTTTTTTATTTTATTTTGAATGCAGGACTTTTACTATTAACAGTCTTTTTCTCATTGTGATATTGCTACTTTTACTACATTAAAATACTTCCTTCACTATACTGTCAGTATATTACTGTGCATGCCTTTCGGTTTATACTTCAGTAAAGTGAACCTGCTGTAGATTTGGATTCTAGTTATTTCTGTTTCATCTGGTTTTATTCTTCATGTTTTGTATTTGTACTCTTGCTGCAAGTTGAGTTTTACTGTAGTAGAGTTTGATCAACAGCAGCACAAGCTTCCTCTAAAAGTGGAATGCAATGCCTTCAAAAGCATTGAGACAGAAAATAGACTTTGTTTCAGATCAGCAGGGTGTGGCTCATAATACTCCTCATTCTCTTCCCCCAAATAAAAAAGATTGTATAACTATAAATATATATATATATATATATATTTATAGTTATAC